TGAGGTGAAGTTACCACAATGGACTAATAAACCATCTCTGTTCAAATTAAAATGTTCTAAGATGAATATGGAAACATGGAAAACTAAACTTCGGTTGAAGGAGACGCACAACCAAATGCGTCAGTTGCACAGAACCAGCTAACAAACCACACAAGGGGAATCGTGTCATTAGACCAGGCAGCCTCTGCATGAGCGGGGTGATTTCCCATATTTTTTTTTTTGCTGAAAAGCATGTTCCCTGAAAATGAAACACCTCCTCAGTAATTTAGGGGAGCAATATTATAATAGGTTTATTCCCTAAAGGATCGTTCACCGGAGCAAATGATGTGCAATGTAAGGAACTACATTACCCATGGTTTCCTGTCAGACTGATCCCATCCAGACACGGCTGTAGCAGATTCACATGGGATTGTAATGGCTGCGGACCATGGTAAATCCTGACGAAAACCACCAGACGTTTCCAGGTAGCTCCCGTGTCCCATGTGAGAAGGGCTTAACGTCACTTCGTTCCCCGGCTGCTCGGAGGGACACGAAGCACCGGCCTCCGCTCTGTTTAGTCTACAGGCTTCCACTTTGTTAGTTTGTTGAGGTAGCAGACTGACGAGATGTGACCTGACCCTCTCTGGATTTCCATACAGGAGGGAAGCTGCCATCTTGTCTTACAACGTCAATGTTTATCAACTCTTTGCTACTGCTCCCCTGAGGTCCCGGCTCTCACGCGCTCTTTTATTTTCTGCTTGTGTAGTGAAAAAAAGAAAACCGAGGAGGAGACGAACGCTTCCCTGGGAGCTGGAAAATGGTTTTTGACGCACAAGTGCAAGGAAAGATTTCACAGATTCTGCTTTTATAAGAGTGTTATTCTACGCAGATCCAAGGTCTCACATGAGAATGTCCTGGATCATTCCCACCAGACCTCATGTTCACCATCACTTCCTTTTCATCGACTCTTTAGTAAGAACCTCCGCGCTTCGACGATAAAGAAAAACAAATACAACCTCTGAGAACTGAAGTGCTGACAGCATTAAAATCAAACATTAAAAGACGCAACAACAACATCATCGAAGTGATGACAAGTGATCGCATGAGAAAGACCGAGACCGAAACTCCTACAATCAACATTTGAAGTATAGATAAAGTACTGTGACAATAATAAAAAATATATTTATATATATATTGAATCAAATTAGAAGATGCATGTGGAGTCATCTTTACAGGAGCTGTCCATTTCAGCACCACAAGACTTCAACACAAGCAAAAACACAAAAAACTGCAACAGAAATTTTATTTCTCAGTGTAAGATATTTAAATGTGTTTAGAGCTGTATGAATATATATTTAAACAAAAGCAGGTATCCAGTATCAGTTATACTCTGCTAGCAACAGATAAATGCACCACATTTTAATCAGTTAATAGTATAAATACTGGGATTTAGCTTTTAAGAGCGAAAACCTTTATTTTTATATGTATTGTTATTAAACAATAAATAAATAAATAAGTAAAACCTTTAAAAAGATTCCTCAATCTCAGAAAGTCTTGATCGGCTGTTGCATCAAAAACAGAGAAGTTAAAGGACGGGCTCAACAAAGTTAGAAAAAAATTAATAAAAAATCTAATTTACCCATAACGTGAATGATGAGTTTCATCCTGGAGAAATAAAATCAAAACCAATAATGAAGTGAATCTTAAATTGTATCCCTTCAACATGGTGGATGACACATGACACGTTAACCTTGATTTTATTTCCTAATTCACAAAATAAAACCTACAATTAAAGGTGCAGGAGTCCTGTGAACGCTCCTGTCACTTCACCTTTAAAAAACAAGCAGGAGAGGTGAAGCCCGTTGACCTCTGACACACTTTCATCACCAGGCAGACTGCTGGAAACCTGTCGCCGACATTTAATTGCAACAATATCGCGCAAAGCTTTTATCTGCATAACATCACTCAGTGGAAACACAGACAAAAAATAAATAAAAAAATCGTTTCTATGTGGCAACAAAACTGTGATGGAAACGCGACCAGTGACTGGAAAGTGTCCTGCTGCAGAGTTTTTAATCATCAAATAACATCACAAAACACACACGGACATAGACTCCTGCTATCTGTTAGTTCAGCTGCTGAGGGGTGATGTGCAGACAGAGGTGTGTGTGTGTGTGTGTGTGTGTGTGTGTGTGTGTGTGTGTGTGTGTGTGTGTGTGTGTGTGTGTGTGTAGTGGTGACCAGACGGTTAACATCCAGTCAGGATTAGACTGTCGCTACAGGATTAAACTGCTCACATGCTCTAATATCATTTTCACAAACACACACATAACAGCACTGATTCACACATATTGTCACAACCTCACGACACACACACACACACACACGGGCCGGAGCTGAAAACACATATTAGGCCAGCATATGTACAAACCTTTCGATTTATAAACAGGCACACGACTTCTTTCTCTCTACATCTTTATTGCTTCAATACTGACACACCCTCTCCCAGAATTCCTTTCATGTCTCGCTGTAAAAGCTCTGAGGTCACAGAGAGAAAGGGAGAGGCAACATTTGCATGTCACTTTTTACACAAACAGTTTGCGGTCGCCTATTTGTGTGGTTCGTGTTCGCAAATTACTTGTTTGCACTTGTTCTGCGTGTGCGCATTAATTAGAGTGGGTTTGTGTTCATGTTTGTACCGATGTGTATGAGGTAGTGTGCTACTTTGGAGTTATTTCCCCCTATGTCGGGTGGGCAGACACGTCGCTGTGGGAGGGGAAATCACGAGCGGTTTGATGAGCCTCCTCAGTCAGTGTGTCGTAAACCGTCCGTTAGAGTGTGAAACTGTAGCTGCAGACTCTGATTTGAACCTGCTGATGTATAAACGTCCTCCATGTTTGTCTTCACTTTCCATCCCGTGCGAGCAGCCGTGGAAATAAAGGATGTGAAATGACATCCGTCGTCTAATTCTACTGGAACAGAAGGACGCAGTCCATCCGTCTCATACACAGTGGAACAGGGTTATCTATTATATCTGTTTCTATTATATGAGACCAGAAAAATTGAAGCTCACACCGCGAGGTTCATCTGGCAAATTCTGTAAGATTGGGCGACCTTTTCTGAGTAGAAGAAGAGGAACTACAGTCACACAAAAGCGATTATAGGATAACGATGTTGGCTACTGTGACAGACCCTGAGAACTAGGAGACTCTCTCCTGGACTTTAATCTGTTTTTCTATCATTTTTACACGGTAAACTATATCTTACAATGTTTTATTTTCACCTTCCTCATGGATTCAAATGTTTCCCCTTCCTCAATCTTTCTTTTCAAATGTATTTCTTATTACCTCAGACCACATGTCCGATCCTCACTAACAGCGGTGCAGCAGATTCTTTTCTAATGCCAAATGAATTTGGTGACGACTGACAAATCAAACTTAAACAACTAATTGTAAATTCCCCTTGATTAAATGTTTAAATGTGTCTAAACTTCATTATAAAAAAAGACATTTCAGTGAGTTACATACTTCAGAACAGTTTATGGCAGCCGTCTGCACACACACACACACACACACACACACACACACACACACACACACACACACAGAGTCTCTCTCTCTCTCCAAGCTCTAGACGATGAGTGGTCTGATTAGAGCTCCTCTCTGGAGTCTGTGAACACACACACACACACACACACACACACTTTTTACGGAGCAGTCTGCAGTCTCCACATACTGTACATGCAAAGGCAGATACATGCAGAGACACACGCAGTCACTTGGAGGCTGCTCTTGCACTTCAGTCTCCACACACACACACACACACACACACACACACACACACGGACACAAACACACGCACACACACGCTCAGTGAGATACCAGGCTGTAGTCTCCAGTCTCTAAACCCTCTCTGTTCTCATGGAGATAAGAAGTGCGTCTCATTGTTGGCAGACAACGGTCCCGTTATCATCTTATCAGAGAGCCAGTCCAATCTGGAGGAGGCGGGGCTGCAGAATGTGTGTTTGTATTTGGCAGGGGGTGGGGGTGTGTGTGTGTGGGGGGGTGGTCTGCCTCCAGTCATGTGTTTTAATTAGAAAAGCTGGGCATGCAGGCTTTAGGTCTTTCTATGGCTGTGTATTCCTGCAGGCCACAGTTCAATGCAGAGTATTGAGGGGAGTGTGTCTTTGACTGAGTTTTGCTCTTATCCTAAAGCTCCTATCTCATCCAGCCTAGCTTTGGGCTTTGCTCTTTTCTGCTTCTCTCAACACCTCAGTGCATTACCCGCAGTGCACTGCATCCATCTCGAGCACTTCCTGAGAAACAGCAGACAAACAACATCAGCTTTAATTTTTCA